GTTTAATAACATTTGGCTTAATAATATCCGTTGTATTATTTGCATATTTAAAATATAAATATATTGAAGTTAATTTAAAAATTAATTCATCTATAAGTATGAAAAACAATGCATTACTTATGGTAGCTATTAATGAATTTAATTCTGTAGCAAGAATTACATATAATTTTAATAATTTTTATAAATATGTCCTGTTTATATTATACTACATTGTGAGTTTAGCTTTTCAAATGACATTATTCCTAATATTTGCAAAAGATTCAACCTGGACCATTAGATTTACGTTTGCATTTTTATTTACCACATTTTTTGCTACTGTTTTATTAATTAACTTACTATGCACTCAAGTTAATACACATGCCTATAAGTGTCACTCAATTATAAATTCATATATTTGTGGAAAAAATACACAAATTTCAGTGAAAAATAGACTCAAAATAATGTCATTCATAGAGAGAGTGTCGGCAAAAGACATTGGATTCTATTGTTATGATATGTTTCTCATGAATAACACGGAATTCAAGGAATATGTCGTGTATTTCATATGCAATCATATTTTACTCTTAAATTTATTAACTTAACGTAATTATAAACATTATTTAAAAAGTTTAATTCAATTAATTATTATGGTCGACATGTACTGTACTTCAATTGAATTGTAATTATAGTCATTTAGAAATTACATTCAGGTTTTATTGTTATGTAAATCAATTGTTTATTGTATTTCCAAATAAAAACAGAGACAAGTTTTCTATGTTATCGCATATTCAAAAATAATATGATTGATAAATACTACTGTCAAACGAGTAAATTCAGTAAAACTTGCCTAACTTTTTTATTATGAACAATATTATAATAACCATTAAGTTAATTTAAAAATTATGTTAAAGGTATAAAATTAATTTCTTAACTTATTACCGCCAATTCAGCCAAAATATGTGCACTTTTAATCAATAACTAAATAAATATTTTATTGTCACTATAATAGAAATATTGTAACATTGCATTTAGTTATGAAAATAAAAATTTTATTACAACATTGTGCTCAATATAGAATCATTGTTTAACATTGTCATTTATCTAACAGTAAGACTTAATACAATCTCAGTTTTAATTGTATGAAATCAGCATTTATATTGTAAATGTGTGTAAAAATTTATCTCGTTTTAAGTTTTATTATCAAATAGTGATAAAACAAAGACAAACCACAAGAGTATACGTATCTAATATCCAAATCCACCCAGAGTATCGTATTTATAGCACATATTTTATTTAGTTTTCATAACTAGTAACTTATTCGTAAATACAGTGTATATAAAGTAAATAGGCACTTGTAGAAATAATAATTTTATTAATATTGTCAAATATTAATGTTAGTGAAATTGTAAAATATTTTCTGTTATTTTTACCTACTTTAACAAAGCCTACTTCTAGCGGTATTTCACATACTCAATACGTTTTGTGTTAATTCGCCGTTTACCCGACTTCAACCGCTTTTACTAGAGTAATATTCTGTATTATGCATACTATTTACTTTCAATTTACAAATATTTATAAATTATTTTTTTATCTATAAAATACGTAAATAGAATAGAAAGACATTTAAGTCCCTTCCAAAACACTTATTTGAAAAAATGACAAAAGATGGGCTTTTACAACTGTGATTTATACTGTTTCACCACCAGTCCATACGGCTGATACAGTTGTTTTCCGGCTATTACGAGCCCTCACATGTTGTGGCCATTTGTCTCATATTGTCTGAAATAGGATTATCACCAAAACTGTTGAGTGTTTTCGGAAATGGCACTATCATTGAGTACATTGAGGTTTGTATATAGATAAAATAATATTTATAATTATGATAAATAAAAATCAAAATATGTGCAAAATTTATATAAACTAATAGAAAAAGTAATTATATTAATAGCTTAACTAAATTTAGTTGTATTTTGCAAATAGAGTCGACATTTCAGTGCAAACGATTACCTCAACCCCAAAACCGTTACATTATTAGCGCAAAAATTGGCAAAATTTCATTCTTTACAAATGCCTGTCCCTAAGGACAGCACCCACTACTCGACTACAAACATATTTGAGAAATGGTTTGACCAGAAGCTTCGGGACTCATACAGGACGGGCATAATCCGCAAACACATAACCGCCCAAAACCTCGAGATATTCTCGAAACTAGATTTCATAGAAGAGGTGGAATGGTATCAAAGGACAGTCACTGAACTCCGGAGCCCTATAGTGTTCTCACACAACGACTTCAATCGCAGGAATATTCTGATCCAAGAATCGGACAATAATAACAGTACCGATAACCCCGATATATATCTCATAGACTTTGATTGGAGTAATTATAACTACCGGGGCGTCGATTTTGGGCAGTACTTCAGTAGGTGGGGTCAGACAGACACCGAGTTTGGTTCGGGTGACTTCCCGGCTGACACACAAATGTATGATTTTATTGAAGCATATATTCAAGAGATGACCAAAATTTATGGCAAATCTTATGCTCAAAATGAGATCAATTCTCGCGAAAGACTTATCAAAGAGTCCAAAGTTTTGGCACTTTTGGCGTATATTAAGGATATTCTCTATTGCATGGACAGTACGGACAGTCGTGATAACCACGAAATGCTCGTATGTTTTGTTAATTGTATTAAGTTTGTTATTATTTGTATTTTAATGTAATTTAACGTATTATCAGATGAAAGGAGAGATAAGGTTTCGGTGTTATTATGATCTCAAGAATCGCATTCTCAAAGAGTATCCGAAAATCAATAGGATATCACATTTGATTAACAAATTTAATAATAAATTGTAGTTTAGCTTGAATAATTTATATTTATTATCATAACAATATTACACGAGATTTTAAGAATTTTTCCTAAAATAAATAATATTAATTAAAATTAATTAAAAATTGTCATTAGTTTAATTTATTTAAAAATGTAATACATGTAATAAATGTATAATATCTATTTGAGTATTATTAAAATGATTTTTTATGAATAGAGTTACGATAACTGTAATATTTTATACAATACTTTGTTATATTCTTGGTCCACATTTTCAGGTAGAAAACAGGAAAATAATTTATTTATAAAACCAGTGCTAAACAGTATAAAAATTGAATTGAATTTATTAATATTTAAAGACCCTGTTCACTCAACCGCAGCTGATTATCAGAAAATATTTTATAATATAATATTCCGGTAGTTAAACTAATTAATATTCACGTAATTGGTTTTATAATTAAATCATTTTCATGAATGTCAGCCCATTTGCCACTTAAGTGTGTTTTGCATACAGTGTCGCAGACTACCCATACTTTCTGAACTTGGTGAACTGAAAATACATTTTTTAGATTGTTGTCTTTTTACAAGGTTAAAATTAATTTTTACTATTTTACAGTATCGTTGGCAAAATTATATATGATTTGTATTACAAAAGTGATAGTGAGCCAAATTGAAAGCCTTTTTAAAAGTTTATTCAAAGACAAATACAATAGTTTTAAAATTTTCAAAAACAATTGCGGATTAATAAAAAGATAAATACACGTTAATATTTAATATTTAATATTTAATAGCCTGCAAAATTGCATAACTCATACAAATACTACCGATCTTCAATCTTAACAGTGTTTTCCATGTTTTTATTTCCTATTTTAATTATTTAGTTGCAAAATTAAATACAATGTATATAAATAATATTCAAGTACTATTGTAAAACCACATCAATATAATACTATTGTATATTAAATATACTATATTTAGTGGTGAAAACAGTTATTTATTTTTTATTGAGATAATAGTTTTCATGTAGTTCCTATGATACCGTAACATTTGACCGTGATTACCTGTTATCACAATATTGTAGAAATATTTTATTAAGGATTGCATTTATGTCGAGAAATAAGGCTTTCATTTTATAGACTTATGAACAACTTTAACATAAAATATGATTATAAATTTAATTACTCTTTAATATAAATAACTTTTGATTACTTTTTACACAGTTTGTATATCATTCCTAAGTAAACTATCTAAACCACTACTAAAATGTCAACATATATTGAGTTATCAAACAATTGACCAAAAAGTAAAGACTGAATGTGTGAGCAAACAGTGGCAGAGATTCATATACACGAAACAAACGGAGTTATTGGTCGACAAACTAATGGATTATTACATTATTAAACCAAATGGATTTGAATTCATATTAAATAAATGCAAAAACTTGAGCAAGATCGTTTACAAAGGAAGTTCTTCTAAGTTGAAGCAAGATAAGTCTGTTTTTGACTCAATTGTCGAGCACTGCAATCAATTAACCCATATTTGTATAGTTATTGAGAAAAATACAAGTATTGAGTCAATCGATAGGTTCTTTGCGAAGTTTGGCAAACAATTGAAAATAATTTGCTTTTATATGGATTATATGGACCCCGCAATCGATATGATTAGACAGTGTGTTGGCAATAATCTAAAGTGTTGTCGAAATTTAACACAAATACAGATCCGAGATAATAGCGGTGATGATAATTTACTACAAGTATTACAGGACACTGTATTTCATAAGCTACAGAAAGTTTACATTAAATTCAGCGATAAAGTTGTCAATAGTTTTAACACATTTGTTGAAAACTATAAAAAGTCATTGAAATCTTTTGAGATTGAGATCTTATGAACGCTATTCTTCAGGTAGCGTTATCACTACTGTCCAAACAGTGTTTACCTCCGTAATTAACTCGATTTCTATGCCACCTCGAGAAACTTCAGTAGAGCTCTTGATAAATTAGTTTACTTTGTAATTGGTATTAATTGCCGTAAACTCAAGAGTTTCTCAATTAACAGCTCTAATATGAATTCCGATGAATGTTAAAGATACGGTGGAGCTCTTTGAAGTCATCTCGAGAACTATTTAATCAAATGAAACAAATTGGTATTAATTGCCGTAAACTCAAGAGTTTCTCAATTAACAGCTCTAATATGAATTCCGATGAATGTTATGAATATGTGATGAAAACAATTAACGACAACTTCACACAAATAAAGCGATTGAGAATCAGTGGTAATCTCTACGGACCGCCAGAGGAAGAGGATGATAACTTCAATATGATTAATGAGACCCTAAGAAGTAAATTATTGGATAAATGCAAACGATTAACACATTTCACGTTTACTGTCGAGTGGTATATAAATGACTCGTTTTTCGATAACATTGGCCAACATTTACCAAAACTCCAATACTTGTCGTTTCAAAACTACGATACAAGTGATGAGGTATTGAATGAGTTGTCAAAACTGACACATTTAAGGGCAATTAAAGTACGCACGTTGGACAGGGGTATCGACAATGAACAAGATTACCTGTGCAAACATTGTCCTAAATTTGTTGAAGCCTACCACAAACATTTCTGTAAATGAGATTTTATTAAGATTTTAAATATATTCATTTAACAAAACATTTAACAATTTAAATAAGCAAGCTATCAAATGATTTGGGCATAGAAAATAGTTTTATTTATTTTATATTTCCTTGATAAGATATCAAAATCAGGGCTACAACCTTGGTCCCTTATGGCAATTATAAATGTATAACTTATAAATTTCAAGTTCAATATAAAAATAGATATAATAAAACTAAAGGATTTTTATTTCGAGTTTAAGTTTTCACTATTTATTAATAATATCAGTGAAGATGAGTTAAAAATAAAATCAAGATATTTGATGAACACTGTGACCCTGTTTAAGATGTTTAAGGCCGGGCTTAAGATGTTAATAATTATAATTGTATATAATTATCTATTATTACTACAATTTGTGTAAATATTTTGCATGTAATTATGATTTTGAATTTAATTATGATTTTTCTGTTTATACAAGTAACTATACTATACTGTATACATTGGTTTAAAAAATATAATAAATTTTAATTTGAAATCTATTTTTATGATTATCTAACTTGAATATAAATAGATTTTATTAGTGATAACATTAATATTGTAATAAATTATTATTTCTTGTTTTAATTACATTCATTTGCATGCAAGCATTAATAAATCAACTAATAATGGTTGTTATTTTTTTACAAAATAACATAATACCGGTATAAGCAAATAACATAGAACTGTATAAAATAAAAATAAAAATTTAAAATAATTTGTCATTTTAATGTTGTTTTTAATTAGTAATGTTGACATATTATTGATTATAGAAATAAAATATGATGTAGCAGTATCGTTAGTACTTAATTACAGACTCATTGCATAATAATTTATAAATAGGTCTAGTTTAGGTTCACTTTTTACTTTATAGCTCACAATCTCAAAAGTTTTAATAATATTAACTAGTAATATTTAAATACTCATACAATAGTGTCACAAACTATAACATTATAACAAAATTATAATATTATAACAGAATGTCTCGGAAAATAGTGCCGACAGAGAAACTGCCCAAAGAATTAGCGATTAAAGGGGCGGACAGTCACCTCTACCGCATCGGTATCTCAATGCAAAAGATGAGTCCAATGAAGAGGAAATGGTATTACAATCCTATTATTGTACTGTTCCTCATACTTCAACAACTGATCCGAAGTATTGCATTCATAATACATCCAACAGAACAGAGCGTATGGTTTTACGCCAGTCTGGGAGATGTGGGGTATTTCATGGGAGTGGGCCTACACACCAATATGCTAATCGTGGTCATTATGAGCTCGCTACTTTCGTCATACTTGGTATTTTTCCGAAATTATCTGAAACGCGTTAAGCCCACGGATTTGCGTGTATTTCAGGTGATGGCCGGTGTGATTAGCCCGGATACTATTGCATTGGATTCACCGGAAATCATACAGAAGTTGTTGAAAGTGTTTAAACGGTTTCTGTCGTTGCCTTATAGCAAGGTAATAGGTCTCGAGTCCTTTGGAGTAATATTTTTCACTTACTCCGTGAAGTTATCAAGGCGATATCTGCTTCTCTACGGTTTATTTCATACGGTATTGCAAACGATCGTGGCCATTTTTTGCATTCAAATCATGGTCTCGAGTCCTTTGGAGTAATATTTTTCACTTACTCCGTGAAGTTATCAAGGCGATATCTGCTTCTCTACGGCTTATTTCATACGGTATTGCAAACGATCGTGGCCATTTTTTGCATTCAAATCATGGTCTGGCTCTGTGTCTACTACTATCTGTTGACATACTATTTGAATACGAAATTACGGTTTATTGACAAACATTTAAATGATCTCTTGAAAGGTATTTATGCTAAAAATACGGCAATTAATCGCAATCTATTGGCAGGTATCATGAAAAATGTTAAACAATTGAATACATTATTCGTGGAAATCAAGGAATATAATGACATATTTTGGGCCAAATATTTGGGTGTTTTCTGGTTTCACTTGAGTTTGTTAGTATCCATCACATTTTACATGGTATTTCTGAGCGAGATTAACATTATTGTAAAGGGAGCCCTATTCATGATCTTTATGACCTTTACCCTGATACTGTTGTTTATTATACACATATCGGCACTCATTTATGATGAGCCAAAAAAGTTGTATAAAATACTAAACTCGTTATCAACGCAATTGAGTCAATCCAGAGGCAGCCTATTGTTAAAATTCAAAGTAAATTACGAAAATATATTTATATCAAGATAATTTGATGTTTATTTTTAATAGTTATTAACTTTGATCGAGAGAATTGCAGCCAAAAAAGTGGGCTTTAATTGCTGGAAATTATTTATCATAACTAGATTCCGGGGATATGAGGTATACGTGAATAATAATTTATAAATATATTATATTAATTTTCAAG